AAAAAAAAAAAAAATTTAAAAAAAAAAAAATTCAGAATGGAAAAGCCCACCTTCTGGGCCCAGCCTGCAAGGATGCAAGGGTCATGGTCATGGGATTGCTTGCACACAGGGCTTGGACTGCCTTTTCCAGCCTCTCGAAAGCTGCCTCCCTTCCAAGGAGGATGCTGGAAATGTCTCCATTGTGTCTTCTAGCTTCCTGAAAAAAAAAAAAAAAAAAAGGGTTCCAAGGCAAGATAGACAACATAAGCCAAGACAGTTAGCAGGAAACAAAACCACAGTGCTGGGAAGGCACAGAGGGTATGAAATTTTTTTTTAATAATCACCATCATCAAACTCTGGCCCAGAGATTCAGGGATAAAGCATGAACCGGAGCAAGGGACAGTCCCTGTGGTTTTTGTCTTGAGGACTGCTGGTCCTCATGCGCCTCACTGTGGGGACACATCAGACTGCAGGGCAGCCTGAGTGCGCAGTGATGCATGTGCCATTGTATTTCTACATTGCTAGGCATCTCTGCCCCCAGGCTGCGGGGAGGGCACGGGCCTGTCCCGGTTACTCTGTCCCTGTGGGCTGACTGGCTGAGGGCACCTGTTGTACTGCAGAAAAGCAGGCTGCCTCTCTACACAGTGGCTGTGGTGACCAAGGAGAAGACCCTCCCGCAGCAGTGGTCCTCAGCGGCAGCCAGCGAAGTGGGGCCTGACTGCTGCCGCCTGGGTTCTGGCTGGCACCTTGCTTCGGTTTTTTAAAAACTTTATCACTGGGAGGCAAGCAAAGGGATGAGTTTGGTTCTGAGAGTGGCTGTGTGGCAGTTGTGAGCGGAGGCTGCAGACAAGAACCAGAGATGCCATCAGCGTGACCTGGCACCATGAGTGCGTGCGGTCTCCAGAGAAGGAACTAGAGCAAGGTTAGGGCGTGTGTTCTGAGTTCCTTTCTGCTTGGGAGAGGGCCTTGCTAAATCCGTCCATGTGTCCTGTTCTCTTGCGAGATGCTGAAGCAGGAGGCACTTCTGGCCTGCGCTTCGCTGTCTGACAGGGACCTAGCTCAGGTATGAACAAGGCGACCCCGCTGGGTTTGCAGCCACCGCTTTCTGTGCAGCACTTGATCAGCAGGGGCTGAGGGGTTGCTCAGGCTTGCAGCAAGGGCACCGGGGAAGGGACCTCAAGGAAAGTAACTCTAGAATTGTCAGGCTGTTCCCGCGAGAGGAACAAAAGCTGCTGGCATGTGAAGCCAGGGTGGCAGGTTTTGACTGGCCTGGTAGCGAACTTTCTATTGGCTGCCAGCCAGGACCAGCTGTAGGCCACTCCGGTGGAACAGAACAGCCACTCTCAGGTGGGCAGATGGTCCCCCCACTCTGTGCAGTCGGAGACCTGGCACATGGGCACCCAGGTCATACCAGTGCAGGAGTTGCTTAGAAAAGCAAGCTGGAAGAGGCTTTAGTGGAGGTGGGCTGTTTTTCATGAAATTTATATTTAAAACCCACGGCACTCCTCTTAAGAACAGGACGCTCGTCTGCATCTCCTTTCTTTCTCTGTGTGCCACTGGGGTTGGACGCAGGACCTTCACGCTGCGTTGCATTCCCAGCTCTCCCTTTGCTTTGAGACAGGTGCTCAGCAAGTCAGAGTTCCCAGGCTGGGCCCAGATTCGCCTGCCTCAGCCTCCCAATCACTTGATTTTTTTTTTTTAAAGAGCAACATAAAACAATAAAAATGTAACAGAATTTCAAAATAAGAGTATAAAATTAATAATGGTAGTTATATTACATATTGTTGTCATCACATCTGTTGCTTGGATCACCAGACACAGGCATGCAAGATTGCTGATCAGTAGTCTTAACGAAGGAAGGTCCTCACAGCTCACTGAGGGTTCCTGGCCCCTGGCTGTCTGAGCCAACCCTATTGAGGGGCTGGCATCCTCTTTGTTCTTGGGTACTGAGGCATCCCCCAGCCATGGGGGTGGTGGTCAGAGAGAGGAGAAATAGGTTTGCCTGCCTGTGGTACCGTCTGAGTGCACAGAACCACTAGCTCTTCCTAACACGCGCTGCTTCCCAGCCCTCTGGCACAACACAGAAGAGCTGACTTCTGATTGGCTGCCGTCTGTTGGGCCTCTTCCCTAGCTGACTTTTGATTGGCTGCCGTCTTTTGGGCATCTTCCCTAGCTGACTTCTGATTGGATACCATCTGTTGGACAGCTTCCCTAGCTGACTTCTGATTGGCTGCCGTCTGTTGGGCCTCTTCCCGGTCTCTACCATTCCCATCTCGCAGCCTTGGTGCTGTTCCAGGGAAAGCAGAGAGCAGAACATAGAGCCGGCACCCTCAGGGCAGCTGAGACAGGTGTGCAAGCCCTAAGCAGCGGATGGCAAGCCCCAGGCAGGACAGCCCAGCGCGCGGCTGCCTGGCTGCAGCGCCAGGCCGGTGGAGCTGGTCTGGTGACTTTGTCGCCAAAGAAGTGGACCATCGCTGTGTCTACTTGGCTTCAAAGGGAATGTTCCCCTGTTCCAGGTGAAAACAAGTCACCCCCTCGCCCATGTGGTCTGAACCATTCAGACTCCCTCAGTCGGAGCGACCGGCTTGACGCGGTGACGCCAACGTTGGGCAGCAGCAATAACCAGCTCAACTCCTCCTTCCTGCAAGTCTACATCCCCGACTACTCCGTGCGGGCCCTGTCCGACCTGCAGTTTGTCAAGGTGAGCAAAGGGCTGTGCCTGGCTTGGAGGTATCGGCCCTGCCTGTCCGGGGCCCCCAAGATTCCCTCCTCCCTGCGGACTCCACGCACACTGTCCTCAGCTCGGGTGCTGAGCCCCGAGGGAGTCCTGCGCCAGCTGAGCGATCTCCCTGGGCTCCCTTTTCTTTTTTTAGATCGGGTCTTGCTATTCGTATTTGGTGGTACTAGGGATCAAGCCCAGGGCCCTCTGCCTCTGAGCTAAGGCCCCAACATTTATTTATTAACTAACTTAGGAGACAGGGTCTTACTGTGTAGTTCAGGCTAGACTTGAACTCATGATTTGGGCCAGGCTGGCCTCCAACAGGAGCAATTCTCCTGCCTCAGCCTCCTGAGTGCTAGGATTACAGGAGTGCACCACCATGTCTGGCTTTTTAAAGATAAGGTCTTACTGGGGCCGGCGAGCTAGCTCAGCGGTCTAAAGCACCTGTTTAGGCAAGCTTAGGCAAACACAGGGACCATGGTTTGATCCCCAGCACCACCTGCCATGCCAGCCCCACCACCAGGGCAGGCTGGGCCGGCCACAAAAGGAAAAAAAGATAAGATCTTACTAAATTGCCCAGGGTGGTCTCAAATGTACAGTCCTCCTGCTTCAGGCTCATAGGTAACTGGAATTACAGGTGCTGGCACCAAGATGGCTGTCTGAGATTTAAAACAAAGTTTGGAAGTAGGCTATGTTACTGAGAATTGATGTGCTCGTCTAAGTCAATTTGAGCTCTAGCGGCCGGTTTACGCCAGGTGCAGTGGCACGCACCTGTAGGTCCAGCTAAGACAGGAGGGTCCCCTTTTTTGTTTTGGTAGCAGGAATAGAACTCGGGCCCTTGCAGGTGGCAGGCAGGTGCTGTGCGACTGCACTAATCCCTGGCTGAGCAGGATCTCGAGACCAGGAATTTGAGGCCAGCCGGGGCAACTTAGAACAGAAAATGGCTGTTTATCCTCAAGGACGCTTTCTCTCCTAGAGCAGCTGCCTCGGGGCTTTGGGGTTCCCGCGTAGCCCAGCAGAGCTGAGTGTGCCTAACTGTGCACTGTCTCCTTTGTGTCCGGCCCAGATCTCCAGGCAGCAATACCAAAATGCCTTGATGGCATCCCGAATGGACAAAACCCCTCCGTCCTCGGACAGTGAAAACACTAAAATCGAATTGACTCTCACGGAGCTGCACGATGGGCTGCCAGACGAGACGGCCAACCTGCTCACCGAGCAGAACTGTGTGACGCACGCCAAGGCCAACCACAGCCTGCATCCGGAGGGCGCCATCTAGGGCCGCCCGAGCCCGCTGCGGCTGCGGCTGCGGCTGCGAAGTCCTGAGACCAAAGACTTAGTCCCTTCCTGGAAGCCTGGAGGCCAGGGAGGCAGGAACGGTGAGGTGGGCGCGACAGCTGGGGTCGGTGTCCGCGACTGCGAGACGCCACTGCCCAGATAGAATCCTGTGTATTTTTCCAGCTGTACCTGTACCATTACTCACTCTCCCTCCATTTGCATGAAGTTGGAAATTGTCGCGGTTTATTTTTTCAAGAGATCATGTTTTTTAAAAGTGTCTTTTGCAGAGTTTTAAGTCATTCTGTCTGAACTCTGCTGTGGTCTGTGCTGTGACCCCAATAGGATGGACTTGTCCCCAGAGGGGTGCCCAGCCGTGACACTGTGGAGTGTGGCTGATGGGTGAGGCACCGCGTGGACCCTGGAGGTGGCCGCGGAGGGACATCGCGCGCCTCCCTAAGCTGCTGGTTCCCTGAGAGTTGCCCTTTCCCTCCGGGAGGGTGCACACTGCTTGGGAATGGGATTTTGCTCCCACCGTGAGAAATTTTTATCACCAAAATGAATGTTAATGAACTGCAAGCCCCCTGGTTCATCATTGGCCAGCGGCCAGCCGGCTTCACCCTGCCGCCCCGCCCCCAGCCCAGATGCCCAGCAGCCGCCCAGGGGGTCTCTGTAAACGCGCCGCATCCTGCCCTTCCTGCTGACGTAGGCAGCCAGCACATGGGGGACCGTGTCCTTGACTGGGAAGGCATGTCTAGACTTGTGTTTTTAAGGAGGGGACTTTGGGGACTGCCAGCTACTGCCCTTCCTTCCAGCCAGGGCGCAGCAGTTGTCGTGTCTCCTGCCCAAGGCACGGCATGACCTCTGCCTGGATCCCCCGCCCCAGAGGCTCCTGGCGCAGGCTCCGCTTGGCCCCAAACCGGGGCTTCAAGACCAAATGTGTGCTGTGGCCATTTCCTGAGTCTCTGTCCTGTTTAATACCAAATCTCCCACGTGCGGTGACATTGATGTCAGCAGGTATTTCTTGTGACTAAATTCTTTACTTGCTTTTCTGAGTTTAAAGCGTTGGGGTCTTGCACACCACGCTGGCACTGTCCTACCCTGGATCGGGTTCCTCCCCGCCCCAGCCTCAGGCAGGCCTGGCGCCGCCCATGGCGGCTGCCACTAGAGCAGACCGCCGCAGGTGCACTTGTGCGGAGGCCCTGGGGTCAGCCGCCACCTGCTCGCTGCCACACTGGAGGTCCCAGCTCTGTGGGGTGGCGAGCTCGGGAGTGCCATGTCGCCAAGGGGGTGAGATCTCTGATGGCTCCCACCGCCAGCTGTGGGAAGGAGCCTCTCCTGGGTGGTGTGGTCTTAATGACACCCCCTGCTCTCAGTTACCATCCCCCCCTTGAAGATACATCTGGCCGAACACAACGCCAGCGTGACACATGCATGACCATAAGAGCACCCAGAGCAGGTTGAACCTTGCTTGGAGGCTGGGCTGGTGGCCTTGAGGAGCGGCCACCCCACTGTGCAGAGGCGGCAGCTCCCTGCTGTCACCTGCTGAGGGAGGCGGCTCGTGGCGACCTCTGGGCATCTGGCAGGGAAGCTCCGCAGGGGCTCTGGAAGGATGAGGCTTTCACTCACAAGTTTGCAGTCATTTCCTGTTAATTAACTGCTCTCTGCCTTGATTATTCATGCTATTTTATAACAATAAGTTACCCAAAAATAGCTCCCATCCAGTCCCTGGCAGAGTGGAAGTGAATGTTTGCTCACGTGCTTACACCTGCTCTCCCTAGAGCAAGCAGCATTTTCTTCCGGGCCCCGCTTTCCCTTTGCACCCCAGTGCCAGGCACTGGAGGGTGCAGGGTTCTGGCTGGGGAGGCCCAGGAGTCCAGACAGCAGAGCCATTGGCTCCTGCCCAGAAGAGACAACAGGTAGTTGGCATCACCATGTGCTCACCATGTGCGGCAGCCCTGCGTGGCATCACCGGCTGGATCACTGTCCCCTCAGCTGCCATCTCGCGTGCAGGCAGGACTGTGGATGCTGCTGAGCTTGCTCCCCAGGCCTTCCCCACCTCTTGGTAGCCACTGTCCGGGTTCCCGAAGGCACCCCTGAGCTGGATTCCTCAAGGCTGAATGTTGCCAGGATACTTTGCCTTCTGTCTGCAAATAAGGAGGGTTCTTCCTCCTCTCAGCGGTTCCTGCACTTCACTGCTCTGTAGTTATGAGGCAAGTCCAAAATCACATATGTAAGCTCCTGGAAAAACAGGACCCATGACTTGTGCATGGCTTTGGGGGCTTGAATCAACTAGCTTAAGCCTTGGTTCTTAAGTGGTTTGAAAGGACGCCACATGTAATTTGGCTCTTCTGCGCTCCTCCCCCCTGCAGGGCTTGGTGTGTGCACCCGGGCACAGCTGGTCCTGGCAGCTGCTTTCTTGTGGCGTTTCAAGGGACCTGTACAAATGTGTGGTAGGCGCAGAGCTTCACGCTCACAAGGACCATGAACTGTGAACGGCGCCAGCCCGCCAGCCCCATTCCATGCAGCTCAAGGACCAGCTTCTCCAAGCCTAGGAAACTAACAATAGATTGAAACAGAAGCAGCAGGATTCTGAGCTACATAGGGACCATGAACTCCTTTCCTCAAATTCCAGTGGGCGTGGGCTGGTGTGAGCCTGTGTTCTGGCAGGAGGGCCGCAGGCCTGACGTCCTCTGAAGGCCTGGGCCAGCGTGAGCAGTCTCCCCAGAACTCCGCCCTGCAGGCGCCCCAGCGCAGTGCAGCCAGGGCCCACTGCTCAGGGCCTCCAGGGCTGGGCTCCAGCTCCCTCTGTTCTTCAGCACCCCAGACTGGCTCTTCCAGCCATGGTGAGGCCGAGTCTGAGCAGGCAGCGCTGCGCCAGGCCGCTTCTGCAGCTTGCCGCTGGCTCTCCCCTAGCTCCCGTGCTGCCCTTCTGGGCTGCGGTGCTTCTGCCCTGCGAGGGAGGCTGGCCCAGAATTAGGGAAGATTTAGTCGAGTACGAAAGTGGTTTTGGGATTCTGAGGCGTTTCTGATACAGACTTTCCAGTAAGTGACCTACTCAGTGGACTCCCTTACCTCAGGGCTGTGTGAACTTCTCTTGTGTGATTGCGTGAGCTGGTGACAGAAACGAGTCCGGAGCCGTCTAGGCTGAGGCTCAGCGCCTCCCTCCGAGGGGCGAGTGCAGGGCCCGGGGGGCTTGGGCAGTGCTGTCCTTCAGCGCAGTGCAGGCACTGCTGGCTCTCCTGCGGTGGCCAGTGCTGCCGGCCGGCTTTGCCCTGCAGCTTCCCGAAGGTGTCACAGTGCTGAGTCCCGGGTCAGCCCCAGGACAGCAGGAGGAGAGGACTGTGCAGGCAGCTGCCAAGGGGGGCACCTTCCTCGCGGCTGGGCCGGACTTTTGCCTCTTAAGACTGGATGCCAAAGCCACTGACATCACAACCAGACATGTTTAAACGTCTTTTAATGGGACGTTCCAGGGGGTGCTTTAGACACCGTGGACTCAGCAGTTCCAGCGGCGAGAAAGGCAAGTTGTAGGTGTCGCTGTCTGCAGGTTTGCATGTTAGAGAGACCCGGTACATGAGCAAGGAGGACCGGAGTGCGGCGGCCGGCTGGCGCGCATGGGTGGGCCCCGCCCTGCGTCCCTGGGGTGCCTGCTGGTGTTCGCCTGCATCTGATCAGCATGGTTTCACATAGGAAGATGCACTTGAAGAGACTCAGGCCATTAGAGTGGCAGGAACAGCATGTGTCCCAGCCCTAGATAGAGAGCAGTGGGCGGGGAGGCCTCCAGCGCGTCCTCCCCAGAGAATCCCACCCTCGCTCGCTTCTGATTCCTGTCTTGCTGCGCCTGATGTCTGCAGGTGGAGTGTACTGATCCACTGACTTGTTTTTGCAGTCCTTTATATTCACACATGTATATGTTTTATTTTATATTATTTATTATGTACATATGCCTCTCCTGATAGTCCACATCAGTGACTAAGCAGCCCCTCATCCACGGAGCTTAGGGTTTGCTGTTGCCGAACTGGGTGAGAGGGCAGTGGTGTCACGCTTCATTTAAAATCACGCTGCTCTTCTTTGGCCTGGCGTCCAGCCCTGGAGCAGGCCACCTCCCTGCTGAGGACCAGTGCATGGCAGGACAGCAGAGCTGGGTCTCCTGCCTTGCGGCAGGCCTCTCCAGGCCCCGTGAAGTCCCAAGGTTTGGGGGCTGGGTCTTCCCTGGTGCAGTGGGACAGTATGGCTGAGACCACAACCTCCCCTCATCCTCCAAGCCAGGTCAGTGGCCTGGTCCTGCAGCGATGGACTCTACCGGTAATCACCTGGGATGGCGGAGTCCTCCTCCACAGGCCTGGGAGCTGCCTGCCCCTCCGGGCCCTTCCTGCGCTTGCCTTGGTGGTGAGGCCCGTGCCAGCGCGGCCTCCCCTGGGCCTTCACGCCTGCACCTGGCGTGGCGTGCGTGGCATGCCTGGAGCAGGGCGGGCTTTCTGACCGCAGCACTCAGAACTGTGTGACGGGAACAGGCACAAGCCAAGCGTGCAGGGTCTAAGAGCTGTCACGATGCATTTTATAATTCAAATGATGTTGTAGATTTACAGTCTGTTATTTATTTTGTACCAATTTATTTGTAAATTTTGTGATTGTTTTAAAAAGGTTTTTGTTTCTATTATTCTATTTAGATAAATGATGATTTTCTGTTCACCCTTCTAGATGTGTGTTCCCTCCTTCCCCACTCCGTACATCACCAACGCTGCCAGCTGGTCCAGGCCCAGCCTCTGCCCGCTGCTCGGCTTGCTGGTGGGAAGCTGGAATTAGGTCTCATCCTGTCAGCAGTAGGGCAGCTCTGGAGGACACTGCTGAGCCTCGTGCTGACAGAAATGGCCACAAGGGCAATGCCAAGTTAATAACAAAGCCACCCTGTTAATAGCTAGGTGAGGAGGAGGGTGTTCCAAGTACCCAGTTCAGCTGGGCACACGACCGCACGCAAGCTGGCCCAGGCAGGAGCGAAGCACGGCCTTACGGGGCTGCAGGCTGCTGCCGGCCACACTCCCCTGCACGCCCCGCAGGAGCCGCACTCTCGCTGTCCTGGACGCAGCCTGGCCCTGGGTTCTCCCGGGGGAGCTTCAGGGCCAGGACCCGTCCGTCCCTGGGCCATACTCGCTCTAGGATCTTTGCCCTGCCTCCAGGTATTTCACATTCCAAGGACTACTGCACTCTGGGGATGAACTTCAGACTTGGGGCGTGCAGGCACTTTTCTGAGGGTGGAGCCACCGTACAGGGATGCCCATGGGGTGCCCGAGACTCTGACCCACCATGCCTGGGCGGAGGAGGACCTGCATCTGGCCGCATTTCCTGCCAGCAACACACATGCTGATCAGACAGTCTTACAGAGAAAATGACAAATACAGATTGACCTTTTTGAACCCACAGCTGATTTCTGGAACCTTCATAAAAACTTCTGAGGGCTGGGGAGATGGCTCAGTAGAATAAGCGCTTGCCTAGCAAGCGTAAGGACCCGAGTTTGAGCTCTGGTTCCACCAAAAAAAAAAAAATTTTTTTTTTTGAGGCTAAATTGAAAAGTCTGATTCCTTTCGGAAGCCCCAAAGTTAGGTTAGGTGGCTAGTAAACTCTGGCTTTGTAGAACTGATTCATCATCTCTCCAAGGGCCTAGAGTACGTGCCCAGTTTTTGAGACAGGGCCTTGTTACATGGCCCAGCCTGGCCTGGAGCTCATGGCAGCGCTCCTGCCAGTCTCCCCAGTGCTGGGATTAATAGGCACGCGCCACCACACCCGGGTTATGCCCCCGTTTTATTTATTTTAAAATATTTATTGTGTGTGTGTGTGTGTGTGTGTGTGTGTGTG